AAAAAACATAATAGACATAAATGTAAGTCTTAGTGTCTGTCCACTTTTTTTTTTTTGTCAGAAACATTTAAAACTTTTGCTCATTATTTTTAAAAGACGACAGTTTGTCCAAGGTAAATTATTATTATTATAATCATGTCCAAGGTAAAAAAAAGTCAAGTAAGGTCGCAAGTCACCATATGATCGTCTTCCGGCTTTACGTAAATGGGAGGTAAAGGTTACTTATAATAACTGTTAGTTCGCTGAAGCCATGGACAGTGACAAAAACTCGAGCACTATGCAAGACTTCTAACCGCCTTGGCTCTCCAAAAACAAGAAAACTTCTGGCATGTAATAGCACCTACAAGTAAATAACTTATCCATGGGGAAGTGATATCCATGGGGAAGTGGAATAAGAATCTTTCCTCCGTAAGCCATGCGTGTTGTAAAAGTCAACTAAATCCGGAACAATGCGTAACCCCTTTTCCTGTAAAGATTACTAAAAAGAATAAGAAGAAAATTGTTTTCTTTCTTTTTTGGGTCACCCTGCCTCGGTGGGAGACGGCCGACTTGTTGAAAAAAAAAAAAAAAAAAAAAAAAAAAAGTAAATAACTGTCATATAGTCAACAGAGCCGTCCACTACAATCCTTCACCATGCATGCATCAACCAACTGTCCCATCCCATGCAGGTTACCCACACCAGTGAAAGAAGGTAATGACACCCTATTTTGTAGAGCCAGATAAATTGATAGGGAAAAAATCTGAAGACTGTATATATATATATTTTTATAACTATAGTATGAAATCTTTTCTGGATTCCATGAACTACAGCATTAAACTACAGCATTATATTAAGAGAGCCAAGCAAAAATAGAGAAATTACTACCTTCCTTCAAGGCTGAGGAAAAAATTACATTACCTGATCTATAACAGCATTCCACTCACCACAAGATGTAAGGAAGACCTCCATTAGAGTAACAAGGCTATAAAAATAAAAGCTATACTATATGCACATCATTAATTAAATAGTTCAAAGAACATATATTAAGCTACTTAGTGACTGCAATACAACTCAATACTTAATGTACACAAGTGAATAACCAGCATACAGAAGAAATTAAAAATAATTTACACTGAAGAAATTATAGAAAACAAAAGGTAAGAAATGACAGTTAAGCAAGTACACTGTGACCATGTTCATTACTATAAGGAAAATAAATGAGTGAGCTAGTTTAACCACCTTGTAACTTGATTGTATGAATTTGATTTTGTAGTTTATACTATTATATTCATGAATATGGCCAAAACATTGGAGAGGTCATGAATGTCAAATGGCAATTTTAAGGTTAACTGATGCAACTACAAGAAGAATACATGTACTTCGTCATATGAGGTCTAAGCAGAAGCAGTCAGGTGTTATCAGAGTGCTAAGGGTCTTTAAAAAAGGGTCATTAACGCAAATTCATTGTCAAACTAAAATTTGTGAGGAATTAGTCATAACTTTGTCAATCTGTATAAAAAAAGGTCATTTGCAAGAATAACAAAACTAATTTCTGTACATTTATAAAAAGCTAATATGACAAAGAGTTAGTGAAAGTTAAAATTATTTAAATTACAATTTCTGTGCTACACACACAATATACATGATGAAAATGAACAACATTATTGAATAATGGACGTTATAGGAGTTAACAAATACCACCAAACCACAAACTATACAATGTTTTGGTGGACTATATCAGTAATGAACAAAATAAATCTTTTACAATGGTAAAACACCTTATACAGACACTTGTTTATAGGAAATTGATAATTTCTACAATTTAAAATACTGTAATTACAAATTGTAAGTTTCAGTACAAGAAATGTGTTAAATTACAATTTTATGGAACATGCTAACAAGGGCCTATACCACTGGATCAAAACTCCAGTAATTTTCATTAAAATTCTGATGGAGATTGACTGAAGTCAATTATTTCCAAGAACTAACAAGTGCTTGCTAAGTCACACACCATTGTGCCAAATTTCAATCACATGAAAGCTTTACATAACAATGTACTGTATAAAATAAACAATTCAAGTTTACAAACAGCTCTCATTACTGATCTAATATTTGGCAATAAATCAACTTTAAACAACTTTACATCCACAAAGAGGCTACTATACTGCATAGCCTACATATTGAAGCATGTGTCAATCAGGACAGTGCACAGGGCAAGGGTTCAACAAATGGACATACACCCACACAGACCTCCACAAATCTCCAATTTCGGATACGTTATTCTACTGGTTCACAGATTCCTTCCCAGTGCTATAATGTACCAATTAATAAAAATTACATTCATTTACATGATATTTCTTTTTTCAGATTAATTTTACAGCTTCTCACAATTTAGGAAATACCTAACCTCTGCTATTAACAAATATAAACAAGGAACAAAAAATATCAGAGGAAACCATGAACCAGCAATTATAACGCTAAAGACTGTTGCGGGCAGGAACTAGAAATATCTAAATTCACCTTTCTTGCCTTGTCGTTCCTTCCAGACTGGGGGAGGTGCATTCCGCCGCACATCAGCACGGTAATCTTCCTTACCATCCTATGATGTACAATTTCCTATTTAATATGGCAATCACTTCCAAAGATAAAAAAAATCTGAGCATTTTTACTATCACTTTAAATTTACAAATATAACAGCATAATTTTACCCCTGAATATCTGTACTAAATAAAAACTTAAAAAGTATATAAATTGGCATCACAAAGAGACATAATAAATTGATTACAAATTTCATCATACCTGGTCAGCTGAATAAGGAGTAACAATAGTGTGTGGGACATGAGCTACTTGGCCTCTAGCATTTACTGCCTTCCACCACTTACGGCTGTCATCCATTACCTACAGGGAAACAAAGCACAAAATTACTTATACTGTTATTGCCTTATTAGTCTTAAGTTTGCCCAAAATGCTCTGCATAGGGGCTTTTGGCATGTACACCCAAAATGTCTTTTTTTTTTTTTTCAACAAGTCGGCAGTCTCCCACCGAGGCAGGGTCATTCTCCTTCATATAAACATTGCATTGCTGAAATAAATTATTATTAATTGCACCTTCACTTTCACATTTATTACACTATAACCAAAAGAATTTTAGTTCTTACATGGATACTCGTTTTAAATTTTTACAGCACTCACCTCTAAATATTCACCACGAACAACTGTCAATTCTTTGTCATTATTGGCAGTCCGGGGATATGTAACTTGTACAATTTTCCCCCCACGAGACTTGAGCTCATTTAACCACTGTCTCTGGTGCTTTTCAAATGTTGGCTGATCCATGGAATCTTGTGATATATCACTGCGACCAGCTTGTGGGTACTCTGATGGTGGAGTCATGGATCGTGGTCTGAAAGATTTTTAATAACTATGAATTACAAAAATTTCCAAAATGTTTCGAATATTGCATCTGTTAATATGTTATTTCTAATGCCTTTCTTCCATGGAAACTGTCATTCCTACACCAAAGTAGCCTCATGCTTGAGCATCCAAAATTATTCCTATGCTATTACATTCAGTTCCAAGTACTGTAGTTGGTTATCTCTAGATACTGCTGGTGCAAGAAGCAGTCATAGCTTATCAACTAATAACATTTTCCTAGTACAAGTATATTTGAAGATAATATGTTAATTACTCTTTCAGTGACTGTCCACCTTTCCCTCCCTTTTATACCACCATTACCTCCCTATTTTCCTCCCTCCAACTACCACCCTCCTCCCTGCTCTTCATCTTCTCCAAATTCAAAAGCTGATATTTCAAATGTCAATTTAATCTTTATAGATTATCCAAGAACAAATATAATGTAGTTTTTTCATTCCCATTAAATTTTAGTCTGTGCAAAGTATTCAGTACAGGAATCTCCTGCCAAAACAATGAACATGGTATTTGCAAAACTTTTTTTTTTTTTTTTTTACTGTAAACATTACTAACTATCCTAGGTAGTAGGTTGGTAGACAGCAACCACCCAGGGAGGTACTACCGTCCTGCCAAGTGAATGTAAAACTAAAGCCTGTAATTGTTTTACATGATGGTAGGATTGCTGGTGTCCTTTTTTTGTCTCAAACATGCAAGATTTCAGGTACGTCTTGCTACTTCTACTTACACTTGGGTCACACTACACATATATGTACAAGCATATATATATACACACCCCTCTGGGTTTTCTGCTATTTTCTTTCTAGTTCTTGCTCTTTTTTATTTCCTCTTATCTCCATGGGAAAATGGAACAGAATTCTTAATCCGTAAGCCATGAGTGTTGTAAGAGGCAACTAAAATGCCGGGAGCAAGGGGCTAGTAATCCCTTCTCCTGTATAAATTACTAAATTTAAAAAGAAAAACTTTTGTTTTTCTCTTTGGGCCACCCTGCCTCGGTGGGATACGGCCAGTTTGTTGGAGGGGAAAAAAAAAAAAAATTACTAACTATACACATACCTAACATATTCATGATGAATTGCTAAAGTCATAAAGGTCATACAGCACCTGGGAAAGGGAGGCATTCAGATGTAAGCCCAGCAAGGGGACAGGAGCTCAAATTCTATTATTAGAACAAAAAAATTCCGACATCTTGTGCAGAAAACCAATCCAAGCTTCACTTATCAAGTCTTCTGCCTCAAATCAAGCTTTCTAACCCAATGGTATTTCTGGACTGCATGCTGAGCACAATATACACTGCCAAATTAATAAAATCAAAGAGATCAAAAAATAGTAGCAAGATTATATAAACTTGCCTCTCGTCTCGTGGGTAATATCGACCTGGTGGTGATGGTTCCCTTCGGTCAGAATCATAAAAATCGCTGCCATATTCATCTCCACGAAGACGACCTTGCCGCATTTCTGCCTGTTAAAATTTTTTTTTTATTATTTTTATTTTTTAGGAAAGGATATTAAAGCATTCCATCTTTACTTAAAAATGTGAAGAAATATTTTTTAATAGTAATTTTATATACTATTTATATTTACACAACTCGACACATGCATGTACTACGAGGGGAAACTGATGAAACAATTTAACACTGGAGGACAAAAGCTCCAAGGAGGATATAACATACAGAATACTCAGGGAAGTTAAGGCAGACAGGAATAGGCTGCTTTAAATGTAAGAAACAGGAACTTTGTGACACTTCTGGAAGGTAAAGATAATCACTGAACTAATCAGGAGCGTAAGATTTACCTCAGACCACACAGCACTGCAGAAATTTAAAGAAAGAAAGGGTACACGTATCTGAAAATGTTACTTTTATAACTTACTTCACGTTGAGCATTTCTTATTTCCTCTGCTCTTGTCCGCTTAGCTTCTGATGCAACCTCCGAGGCCAGCACACTGGAGCGCTCACGTGAATCCTCTATCAACTCTGGTGCCCACCCACTGGAGAATACTGCAAAGATTTAAAAGTATACACAATTAAAAGCTACACAATACTCCATTTACGTATATAAAAGTACTGTGCTACAATAGAGAAAAAAGGGCAACAGTATACATCCTTTGCACTCTCTCAAAGCAGAATTCTGGCCTCCAGGACCTGATCATACTTACCAGTGCTTTTGAAACTGTAGTATGTTTTCCTCCATTACCTCTTAATATACTGTACATCATTCCTCTTGCCACTCTAAGCTTTTAAAAATTACTTTAATTCCTAACATCTTTAAATAAAATAGGAGGGAATAAGGTAATGAAAAAGTTTCTTATTTACTGAAATGTGAGCAAAGAGAACAAATAAAAATATATTTTACAGCCAGTTTGGCACGGTTATTCGTATTCGAGTAATAGAATTAAGTTGGTGGTAATCTACACTTAGATAAATGAATAGTAGCTCAGATGCATAGCTTAGTAGTTGAAGTGCACGAGTATTGTGGTGCACAAGCCCATGAACATCTATCTATCTCCACCATTAATTCACTTGTATATACAACTGCTGTAGTGTAATATGCCATTATAGCACATTTCTTGCAAGTTAACATTTTTAATTCCTATATAAAACATGATTTTCTCCATCTATACTAGAGACTCTGGGAAGACATCTAGAGCATGACTAATGGTGAATGCATTTTCTGATTTGAGTCGCAATTCTCTAGGGGTAAAATGACGAGACAAAAAAAAAAAAAAAAAAAAAAAAAAAAAAAAAAAAAAAAAAAAAATCGCATCAATTTTCCTCTTGTTTAGTTTAGAACTAATTTAATTTGATGCCATTAACATTCCTTAATCAAGATTAATAAAATTAGCCATTTTAAAATCATACCTGGTTGATAAGGAGGAACACTGTATTTCCACATGTTACGTGGAATACACCAGGTCTCTCCAAGACTGTGCCATAGCTCTGTTTCCCGTGACGTCAAACAATTTGTTAGCAAGTCCATAGCATCTGCAGTTAACAGTGGCGATAACACCTGGAGGAAAAAATAAAGTACATACTGCAGTGAGTATTTATTTTTTTTTTTACCTGTGTTCATAAAACAGCCATCTTATCTCTTTAAATTTAGTAATTCATACAGGAGAAGGGGGTTACTAGCCCATTGCTCCCAGCATTTTAGTCACCTGTTACGACACGCATGGCTTATGGAACAAGAATTCTGTTCCACTTCCCCATGGAGGAAAGCAGCAAATATTACATATAAATGAGACAAGAAAATGCTGGCTGACTATTAAAAATCCATAAATTACTCTGGAAAAACAGCAGCATATCTACTCCATCTAGGGATTTGCAATGTCTGTATACCTCTGTTGCACGAGATTATGAGTGCAAGTGCTGAAAGCAGAGTGAGCACAAGTTTGAAGCAGATACACTGACTCAGGCACAGGAGGAGAGAGAAGTAAATGCGAATTGTCGTAACTTCCAAAGGGGTAAAAAAAAAAAAAAGTGATGGGTGGATATAAAGGAAGAAGTGGGCAAATTCAGGCATCTTTCAGAGTTTACACATGAAGACTAAGAGCTACAATAAATGATTAAATAAATGCATTTTATTAAATGGTTATTATTCTGTACAAATGAAGGTTGTTCAAGTGAAGAAAATACCTAAGGCAATGGTCATCACACTAACCCTGCAAAGAGAGGATGCTTGCTTTTACATATAGGCTTTTGACTACGGAAGATCGAAAGGCCTTTCCCAGAAACATAGTCCCTGAAGACAAATTTCAAAGGGACCAATGAAGGATGTGGAAGAGGGTAAGGAATAAAGGTGGCAGATGAAGAGGGAGGAACATCAGAGTTCAGAAACAAAAGATCTGTACACAGTGTGTAAAAGTACTAATAGGCATTGGGGGTCTCAGGTGACACTGGTATTGTCTCCTGCAGGCAGAGTTAGCTTACAGCCTAATTATATGACAAACCCCTCCTCTTTTTAAACATCAGATTTTGTTTTCCAAAGGGAAAATAGGGGGTGGGGGAGCACCAATGAGAATATGAGGAATACACTTTGCAATTAAGGCAAGAAGGGGGTTGGGGGTGTAGTGACAAGTTAGGTCATTATCATTCATTTCTTCAGACTGAATATTCTGCCCATAATCTGCAACACTTTGTTGGGTGGACATAGTACCAGCAGTCATGGCATTATTTTGGTCTGGGTTTGATCTCACCAACAGGAGTTTGCCTGCTATATATACTGAGATGCTGCTGACATGTGATGTAGGCTACCTCACTTCTGTATTCTTCTTCTCTCCCTCCCCTCAACCCACATCAAGAAAAAGCACATTCAACTTTTATTTAAAAAAGAATTGCATTCAATTTAAAAGTATTATTTTGAGGCATAGGAGTTTCTAGAGCTTAGAATGTAGATTAGTGAAGTTGTACTGGAATGTGTTAAATCAATATAGAACTGCCATATTCCATACAATAGCAGCAATTTCTACTATGGCAATTTATGACAATAAGTCACTTCTCACCTTGCTAGGTAGATTTGGACCATAATTGGAGTCTCTTGATGCATCCACAATGATTGCCAAAGGTGTGAAAAGAAAGTGTACTAATTCTGGAGCATTTGGGTCATGAATGTGGGCCTTCAGCTTTGCCTGGTAGAAACAAGTTAAAATGTAAACTGGAAAAACACTATAATAAAGTAAGTAGCAGCCATCAACTTTCTCTTAAATATCAACTTCTCACATCTCAATAAACATTAAGAACAAGATAAGTAATTCTTCAGTGCACTGAGATGTTCAATTTGATGTGTGCTTTAGAAATTTAAAACTTGTTTCAGTGGTTGACATCATCAATGGTAAAACTTTTGCATTTAATCAAAATGATAGTAAAAAAAAAATTATAATACTGTACAACATATGTGTAGATGAAGTATGTTACTGTACTTGCATAGGGCAGAGTTCTGCAAACGATGGATGGAAATAATGGATATGACACTGCAATAACTAAAATTTACAGAATTCAATACATTACAAAAACACCTACCAGGAGGTTAAAGGAAAGCTTGAATTTCTGAAAGATATCCACAAATTCTCGTTCTGGTGGAGGCTTGGCACGCATTGACAACAACCCATCACCAATATCTTTCTTCTTGGACTTTCGAGACCTAAAAAAAAAAAAAAGAAAAAAAGGTTACTGTACATTAGCACACACATTAATTTAAGTGCCATTCTTTGTTTTCAAAGGATGAATTATATGGGCATAAATAAATACATATTACTGAATTTAAAAAGAAAAACTTTCATTTTTCTTTTTAGGTCTCCTTGCCTCGGTGGGATATGGCTATATTGTCAAGAGTATACCTGGAGAGGGTTTCGGGGGTCAACGCCAGCGTGGCCTGGTCTGTGACCAGGCCTCATGGTGGATCAGGGCATATCAACCAGTATGTTACTGTTGGCCGCACGTAAACCGACATACGAACCACAGCCCGGCTGATCAGGTACCGACTGTAGGTGCCTGTCCAGCACCTTCTTGAAGACAGCCAGGGGTCTATTGGCAATCCCCCTTATGTATGCTGGGAAGCAGTTGAACAGTCTTGGCCCCCCTTGATACTTTATTGTGTTGTCTATCATGCTAGTGGCGCCCCTGCTTTTCATTGAGGGATGTTGCATCGTCTGCTGACGTCTTTTGCTTTCATAGGGAGTGATTTGTGTGTGCAAATTTGATACTAATCCCTCTAGGATTTTCCAAGTGTATATAATCATGTATCTCTCCCGCCTGCGTTCCAGGGAGTACAGGTTGAGGAACTTCAAATGTTTCCAGTAATTTAGGCGTTTATCGCACTTAGGTGTGAATTGAAGGTTCTCTGTACATTTTCTATATAAGCAATTTCACCTGCCTTGAAAGGTGCTATTAGTGTGCAGCAATATTCAAGCCTATATAGAATAAATAAGAAAAAAAATTACATGATCACTAACAAGACAGTTTCATCACATTTGCGAGATATTAGTGGTCTTCCTATTGCAATAAACCTCACTAGACAATGAACCCCTGTGATGTTAGGGGGAAAAAAAATGTTCAGCATAGATAAAAATCATAATGAAAGTGAAAAACCTTGAAGATTAATTAATTACTTTTCTTCAACATGAACTGTTGGAGACAACGTATGATATACAACAGAAACGTTAGGTACAATATGCAGAGAAGAACTTTACCGAGATGTATCACCTGTAGAAAAGACTTTTTCATCAATGCAGAAATGGAAGACAAGAATATTTATACAAGCAGAGTTAGGCAAGTGGCTGGGCAGTAAAGTCATGGCACAGATGAAGTGCAAGACTGGCACTCTAGAGTGACTACCTGTCCTCAAGTGCACTAACTATAACCTCTATGTTAAAGAAGTCGAGCTAGAGGTTTTGGCTAAACTGAAAGCTCCTTGACCGTATTGGGAGTGTTCAGAGTACACACAAAAGCAACTTCAAAGCATTCAAATTATGCTCTGTCTCTTTGATGGCCAGCAGGGTGTCATTCCAGGAAATCAGGGGAATGATCTTGTCCCTCTGTACAATGCAAGCATTGTATTCATTCAACTACTATTTTCCTAAAAGTGTTCTGTCATCCAATTCAGATTACCTTGACTGTAACATCCCCATCTCTCCTTCAGAATGCAGGCACTGCCTGTCCCACTTCCAGGATTATTAATTATTATAATTGCGAGCAGAGATGTGATCAGTTTTGACGATTTAATCTAAGACAATGAAGCCAACTTCAACATCTTTCTTATATATTAGGTAGAATTAAAACATAAAAGACACATATGGAGATCCTTCGTGTTACTGAGCATTGAAGAGAACCCTCTAATTTCTTTTCTTCTCAAAGCTAACTAAAATTGTCTGCCATTCTCCATATAGCAAGGTGATATGTTAATATAGAATATCTGCAAATTTTCATGTTGAGTTGAGTTGTATTTCAAATAAAGCAAAATTACAGAGTATTAAACAATGAGAATACCTGCGGCGACGCTCGAGTTCCTTCGTAGCAGCTGCAGTGTGCTGGAGGCGTCCAATAAACCGTTCAATGTCATCAAAGCAAGAATTAAGGATGGCCACATCTCGTTCATACTTTTCACTGCTGGTTGATGACAAATCATCGTTGTGGCTCACACTAGACCTCTCCGACCTTGGACCCCGCGCCTCTCCTCGCACTTCACTGTCGGCTGAAACAAACATTACTTTTTAATTAACACTTAAAAAACACAAAATACTCAGGCATAATGTTTATATAACTAGATTATTTATAGATGGGATAAACCAGAAAGAGAACAATTTCAAACAAAATTTAAGTGAACCAGAGACAAAATTACTTGCATGTAGGCAGTGAGCAAATGCAATGCAATATGTAGGAATGTAACAAAGGCCAGCAACACACCAATTCAAAAGTAGATATGACAAGACGAAAGGATATGTAGCACGCTACACTTACATCAAAGTACACAAGGGCAATCCAAGAGCTAAAGCTCAACTATTGCACATAACCTTGGCTGAACACACTAGATATTTATACAGGTCTGCCATCACTAATCCGGCAATCACTTATCCGGTTCCATCAGTAATCCAACACTAATTTCGGCTAGCATAATTTCAAATTTCATCGTTATACTGGCTCAGAAATTGTGCAGATGGTTGTAAATCCACAGCAGCACGCCAGTGGAGGAGAAAGCAGTGATGAAAATGAGGAAGATGTAGCAGAAAGTCTCTATTCACAGGTTAATTAAGTGTATTCTAACCTAACCACTCTGTAACCTGGCAACTCACTAATCCGGAACACTACAGGTCCCAATGATGCCGGATTAGCGATGGCTGATCTGTATAATGTTTCGTAATCTTATAATCCAAGATGATAATTTTATTATTTAATAAGTCACACACAGCACATTACACATTCAATTTCATCATTTGCAGGTTATCGAATAATTACAAAGAGTGAATGGATTAAAATTATGCACCTCACAGCAATAGTAACATTTCCCTCATAATAGGTCCAACCAAGAACTAGGCACAACATTTTAGCCATTATTAAATCATATGTCTGTGCCCCTGTAAACCAATATCTAGGGGGCAAGCACTTTTGTTTAGGGTGGATGGGATAAGAGTGAAAAAAAAAAAAGTGAACGAAGTGTCAAATTCACTTTGTTAATACTGCAACAATTCAGTTATCTGATATCCCCGAAGGGAAACCCTTAAAAGATTTCCTGCATTTTTTACTTTTTCTTTTCCCTCCAACTTTTTTTTTTTATTATACTTTGCTCCTAGCTGGAGAACCCCTCATCCAACTGTCTTCAATTTTCAACATGTGTATAGTAGTGGGGGCCAAATTTTTCAAACAATTGGCATGTCACTGTACCCTATGACTAAAGTCGTTTAACATATTTCCATCTTCCTTGGATGGCACAGTTAACTTACAAAATCCTCAGTGGCAGAGCTTCAAATGTTAAAAAAAAAAAAAAAAGCAAGTGCCAAAAGAGTCAACAATGGTAAAGCATGAAATTCAAACATGTAGATTAAGATTTGACCATTCTACGTGCAAAATGCGAGATTTTTATTCCTCCTAACTTAAGCAGAATAATATTCAGTAATGCTTCTGAACAGCTTCTAATGCATCTTTGGGCCAAGCCAGTACCTATTAAGTTTTGTTTGCATGTGGGCAAATTTGTTGTAGTAAAATACATAAAGAAAACTTTTAGATGACTGGTTCAGAGAACCGACAAGTTGATAAATTAGACACGTGCAACACTTGGGTATCTTTATTAAGGAAATGTTTCACCACACAGTGGTTTCATCAATCCATAATAAAGGAGAACGGGGAAGAACAGGAGGAGTTTGAGGTAATCAGTCCCTCAGCCTTGAGTGATGTGGTCAGTCCATCAATCTTGAAAAGAATACAGCATATCTGCGAAGAAGTAGCTTATATACCATAGGCAGGAGAGGTGCAGCAGTCGTAGGTGGTATCACATTTGTCCAATGTGGAAGTAGGTCATGCCCAAGGGTTAGGCAAGTGAAGAGTTCCCTGTATTAAGATTCCAAGATGTCGCCACTGTGTGGCGAAACGTTTCCTTAATAAAGATACCCAGGTGTTGCACATGTGTCTAATTTATCAACTTGTCGGTTCTCTGAACTAGTCATCTACATTCCTGTCTGACACAGCAACATCTTGGAATCTTAATACAGGGAATTCTTCACTAGACTAACCCTTGAGCACGACCTACTTCCACATTGGACAAATGTGATACCACCTACGACTGCTGCACCTCTCCTACCCATGGTATATAAGCTACTTTCTTCGCAGATATGCTGTATTCTTTTCAAGATTGATGGACTGACCACATCGCTCAAGGCTGAGGGAATGATTACCTCAAACTCCCCCTGTTCTTTCCCGTTTTCCTTTGTTATGGACTGATGAAGCCACTGTGTGGTGAAACGTTTCCTTAATGAAGATACCCAAGGGTTGCACACGTGTCTAATTTAAAAAAAAAATGTTAGAATCCATGCCATAACTGGAGAATGACTCAGCTGACCAGCTTCAATTTTTTTTTATCCAATAATTGAAGAATGCTCTGACAAATGTAAATTTGAAATTTTACTTTAAAAAAAAAATGGAACTCTTGAAATTGTTGGGACTGCTTTTTTTCCGATAGACTTTTACAACACTGGTGGTCACAGCGTGTTACTCAGATGTGAAAATTTCAGTCTGCCAATTTTCACTAGTAAACTGTTTCTTTAGCAATAACTAGAGAATGCCTCTTCTGATCAACTTCAAAACCTTGATGCTGGTATATCTTAACAGGAAGTATTTTTATATCAATTTTGTGCTGTGTGGATGCCAATTTGCCAACATTTTTCTTGCTAAATTTATCAAACTGGATTTTTTAAAAATTATCAAAATATTTTTTTTTTTCTTACGGGATTGTGGAGAACTTTAACACGATGTAAATGCAAAAGGGAAAGGAAAAAAAAAATCCCCAGTTTTATGGAATTTTTAAGTTTAACAATGGGAGAATATTTTTTGAAATATTCTCAGCAGCATTTTTGTTTGCCGTCTCAAATTTTCATTACATGTTACTCGGCAACGCCTTATGCGATTGGCTTAAAAATTTCAACATTGTGTAATTTATCTTGGGCAAGATACACGGGAATTTGAATGTGTGTGCACGCGAGCGTAAGAGATAAAGAGAAACAGAGAGAGAGAGAAACAGAGAGAGAGAGAGAGAGAGAAAGAAGAAAGAGAGAGAGAGAAAAGAGAGAGAGAGAAGAGAGAAGAGAGAGAGAGAAACAGAGAGAGAAGAAAGAGAGAGAAAGAGAGAGAGAGAGAGAGAGAAAGAGAAAGAGAGAGAAAGAGAAAGAGAGAGAAAGAGAGAGAAAGAGAGAGAAAGAGAGAGAAAGAGAGAGAAGAGAGAGAAGAGAGAGAAAGAGAGAGAAAGAGAGAGAAGAGAGAGAGAGAGAGAGAGAGAGAGAGAGAGAGAGAGAGAGAGAGAGAGAGAGAGAGAGAGAGAGAGAGAGAGCGCACAATTCTACATTGTCTATTCTAAATTTTGTTTCCGTGTGACTGGCTTCAAAATTCCAAGTCTCGTGTAACCTACTCTGTAGGTTGATGTATTTAATGATGTATGTAGATGCCATTTTTGCCACTTAATTTTGATACAGTATATAATACTTTACCTTTTTAGCAATATTCTAACTTAATGGTGAAGGGTTCTTGATCCAAGGAGCTGGACCGATCTTCCCCTTGCTTAGATCAAATTTGAATGCCTTCTATTTAACAGGCGTTATTTGAAGCCTATGGGCATTGAACTTTCCTCTGATTTAAAATATAACAACTGGGAATGAATCAATAGTTTATCATTATCAAGGCTGAAGCTTCATATGAAATAAATCAAATGTTTCATGGGTTAAAACTGTAGGCGCAAATTTTGTTGGATTCTGGGCAGTAACTGGCGAATGCTTTTAGTGCTGATGTGTTTTCCTCAAAGAAAACAATCTATTCAAGATTGTGGAAGTTATCACGTGCCAATTTTATTAATTAAAGTCGTTTGTGAAATAATTTGAGAATGTCTTCTGAAAAGATAATATTAAAAAAATTAAACTATAGTTTCTGAGTGTCGCATCTGATTACCTTCAACCCTTTCCAAGCTGATAATAATGAAACCTTCTGAACGGCTTCAAGCTTAGTGTGATTGGGTAATTTTAAGACATCGATCTTTCTGGTCTCTGAAATATTTGAATTACATTTGGGCTGTGTAATATACTAATTTACCATTTTTATTAATTTGGATATTAGTTACCTTATGATGACTTTTGAATGCCTCTCGATTCCCTTCAAATCTTCAATGCTAATATTTAACTGCATTATCAACTTTTGCCGCATTCTACAATGTCAATCGCATGCATAGTGACTGGAGACTGGTGTGGAATACGGGGATACCTTTATCAGACAGCACAGCAACCTAAGTAAGTATTTAGGTACAGGTACTCGAAACTCAAAGGCAAAGGTACACAAGTACAATTATCATACTGTATAAATTATCAAGGATACCCCCCCAAAAATATTAGTGACTTATTTCCATTAGGGTCCTTGTAATTTCCATTTGCATCTAGTTGTAAATGTAGTTATAATTTTACCCGTAAGGATTAAAGTACACACTCTTTGCTTCACACTGAATTTCATACAAATTATATTGCTGTTTGCATATATCACTAGCGAATTTGTATTTTCTTTGGCGTTCTTACCTTTCATCATCTCTGCCCTCATCATTTTCAGGTAGGCACGGCGAGCGCGCTCCACTGTATTGACACCTGTCAGCACCATGCTGACACTTGTTAATTACCCACTGATACCACCACTACTACTACTAATACCGAGGTTGCTACTAAATAGTAACACTTTTCAATACTGAGTGGGACTTGCTACTGCCACTTTTTATCGCGTCATCTGCTTTTCTTTCCAAGTATTTCAACAAAGTCCAAAAGTTCAGTATCTGAGTATCAAGATTGCAAGGCTTAATTTACTGACAACAGTAAAAAAAGAAACTGCTATATAGTATTCATAAATAATTCGTCTGGTAAAATGGTGTTTAAAATACAGTATTACATACCAGTCATGGTCATATCCAAGGTTCACTATTTTAACTAAGAAACCATTACCCATCAATAACAAAATGAC